GAAGTCATTATTAATCCCATTTCCTTGGTTTGACCTCTTCATCTGAACTTTCAGGCCTGATAAAGATTGTTTATTCTGTTTATTATCATTAGCGGGCTTCTGGATATATAGAAAATGAGATTATATCATTATTTTTATATCGATATATTTAAATTTCTACAGGCTCTGCCGCTCCATTGATTAGAAACAAGGATACACGTGCCGCTTCCTATAGTGCCTCTCTCTAGGGAGGCTTCTCTTCTTTGCATATGTAATTTCCTTTTTCCTTGTCTCCACCCTGAAGAGTGAGGATTTCTGTCAGTTTCACAGAGGCAAAGTTGCAGTCTCAGAGAGGTCAAACAACTCTCTCAGCAGTGGAACTGATCACTCAGGCACAAGTGTCCTGCCACGTGCTACCCACATAACTAGAAAGCAGGGAGCTATAATTCTTGCCCTGTTTATTGGATTTCCCATTATCTTATTCACCTAATGCACTTAGAAGCCCTTAGGAAAAAAACCTCTAATTATGGACAAATTTAACCCTACAGAAAAGTAGACAAAATAATGACCCTTTAGAGACCCTTTTAATTCAACCCAGAAATGGTTGCATTTACAGTTGCCAAAGGTTGAGGGCACTGAATGAAAGGGAACCATGAACTTGCCAGTTTCCTTTTCTTCCTTAAAACAAAAAAGATATTCAGGGCAAATTTTAGAATCATTGACGGTTTCTAGGAAGATTTTCTTTTTTGGAAGTAAAAAGGTACTCTTGTCTCCTTAATTGTTCTTAGTGTTCTTTGTCACCAGTCATGATATTCTTTGTGGAAAGTATTAATATACCATCTTCCTGTGTTCAATATTCCCATTAACAATAAAAAGTCTAATGAAAATATCTGCATGAAAAGCCCTGAACACTAATTTCAGAGACAAATAAAAGATGAACCAATAAGTGTTTCTTTGAAAATGAATGATGCAAATTAATTGATATCTTAACAAGCTTTCAGCATGAAGATTATTAGTTAGATGGAATCAGAACTGAAAATCATCTTTAAGGAAACGCTAAGGACACTGCAGTCGAGGAGAAAGATGTTATCTGTCAATGCTCAGTTAGAAATCTCTCTTGCTCAATGAGAACCTTTCAAAGAGGGAACCAAGTGGGACAGCATGCCTTATGTATCCATGTCTGCCTGTCCTAGCCTGGCCAGGTTTGGAGACTGGAGCCTAGTCCTGTTCCGGAGTTGATGGAAACCCACAGGTATAGGAAGTTCTACCCTAAGCCAGCCTCTGGGGGCTTCGTAATACCACCACTGAGTTGTGGATTCCTTCCTTGGTCTCTAGAATAGAAGCCCTGTGAGGGCAGAGCCTTCCTCAATTTTCTTTGCATTTGTGATGCCAGTGCTAGCCTAGCTACCTGATTTAGAGCAATAATAAGAATATAACAGCAAGTAACAATGTAGAGCTTACTGTGTTCTGGGTATTGCTCTGAGCACTTTCCTTAAAATAATGCGCTTAAGCTTCATAGCAACAGTGTGAGGTAGGTATACTACTATCTCCAGCTTATGAGTGGGTATATTGAGACACAGAGAGGTTGAGCAACTAGCCCAAGATCGCACAGCTAATAATGGTAGATTAGGAATTCAAACTACAGCAGTCTGGCTCTGGAGTCCTCGCTGTTAACCACTGTGCTATACTGAATAGTGTTCTATATCTATTTCTTGAATTAAATGAACAAAGGGGTACTATGAATGGATGCCTTGTCCCTATTGCCAGGCATCTAACTTCTAGTTTTTATTTAAGTTATCCAAAGTTCCAGAGCTTTATCCTACTCCGTACTAAACCCTGCCAGCCCCTCTTTGGAATGGAGGTTGGGGGGTGCCACAGATCTTTCTTGTATTCCTAAAAACTAGTTGCTGTCCTGTTTCAACCCAGATAGGCTATCAAAAAATTGTCCCTACTGAAGGGCTCCTATGGCCATGGCCTGATCTACCATCCAGTTTGACCTGGCCCCCTAATATCAGGGTCAGCTGAAGTTCCACCAAGTTTGCTTCTGTGGTCATTGTGAACAACAGGGCCATGGTCACTCTCTGTCTGCATAGACTTTATGGCAGGCTTTCCTACTGAGGCTGTTTGGGTAATGATGGTGTTTAGGGTGTAGCATTACAGGGTCCAAAACATTTACCTAGCGTGTTCTATTTAACAAGATAGTATTCCCTGGGGACAGTTCCCTGGAAGCATCTACCCATAAAGGGTAGTTAGAAAAAGAACTCTGGGAGTGAGCCGGCGGGTGGTGGAGGGAACCACAGAGATGATGCCTTCCACGTTATAGAGAGGGGATAGTGGCTCCTTGTCCTAGTGGAGTTGATGGGAGAGATGTGGTTTGAACTCAGGCCACATGGTACGGCAGGAAAGGCGTGTGACTTGGGGTTAAGGGGTGTGGATTGAAGACTCACCTTTCTAACCCACTAGCTAAGAGACGGCATCATTCAGCCTCTCTGGGCTCTGCTTTCCCCATCTATAAAACGAGGATGATGTCTATTTCACAAAGTGGTGTTGAACTTCAAGAGTTTTAAAAGTGCTTTTCACTTGAAATTGCTCCACAAATGAGTGATGTTAGGAAGGACCAAGGCATCCCAGCTCTACAGTCTTCCTTCAATCTGCTCAATCCCTCTGGATGCTTGTTAAGCTGGAATGCCATGTTCTCCCCAGACTGACCGAGGGGGCGGTTCTGCAGGTGGGGTAGTGCCTGGGCAGCTGCATTTTAACAAGCTCGTCTGCCAATTCGAACACACTCAACTGTTTGAGACCCAATTAGCAGCGGCGAACACCAACACAAAGGAAGTACTCTGGGTTTGATCACAGCCTTCGCTTCCTCTGGTCGAGGTCTAGAACCTGAGACCTAAATGAATTTGGTTGACGCCGTCTCTGTGGTTGGCGGAATTTTGGGGAAGGCGGGCGGGGCCAAGTGGATATTGCGGCTGCTTCCTGCTGAACACTCACGAGGGAAGCGGTGCAAATGCGACGGAAACCCAAGCCCCCTCCGGCCTGAGCGGGAAGGCCGAGGGCCGCACCCGGGCAGGTGGCACTGGTAAGCTCTGTGGCTTAGCAGCCTTGCCGGACAGCTGCCACCTGTCACCTGCCACCTGTTCTGCTTCTAAGCTGGGCTGCCGAGGCTAAACTCATGTTTGGTGCACAGAGCTCCTGTGAGATGTCCCTTCTGAATATGGGGGTGAGGGGAGTAGAGGAGTGGGGGGTCTTCAGGCTTGGAAGAGAGGCAGCCTCATGGTCCCAAGTCCTCTCAATTCTGAAGTCATCCCATCCCTAGCTGCTTTCGCACTTCGGCCTCAGGACTGCCGAGCAGAGCTCCCTAACAGGAAGCCCTGTGTGCCTGGGGTGGCTGTGAATGTGACCTTCAGGGCAATACTTCTCTATTGAGTGTTTCACCCCTGAGACTGCGGGGAGGCCTAAGTTCAGAAAATGACAATGCTCTAGCTTTGGGGGGTGAAGGGGAGATGCCAGATCTTTCTCTCATGCTCACCGCTCTCCTCCCCCTTCCTGATGGCTCAAACCTCCTAGCTCTGTCCCTTTGTGTGCTTATGGTGTTTGGCCAGGGAAGTGTGTGGAGTAACAGAGGTGGCTCCAGCACTGCCCACGAAGCTGCTGCTCGGGTCTCCCTTAAGGAAGCCCCTTCCAGGGCCATAGGCAGGGCTACCTCTAAGGATGGCTGTCCACCCGAGCTCCCTGGGAGGGGCCCTGGTCACTGGGCCACCAGCTGGTTGCAAGGGTAACTCCCCTGTCACCCCCCTACTCCCACCCAGTGGCTGTGAGAACCCTGCCTTGCTCAGGGTGGTCAGAAGCTAGTTCAGATATCAACCCCTTCCTCTACCCACAGTTCTGGAAGGAAAAACACAAACCCCTCATAGTTGCAGAATTGTCTGTTTTCCAAAGTGCTATCGTAAGTCATTGGCTCATCACAATCACAGCAAGTCAGCAGCACGTTTCCCGTATTACAGAGCAAGATGAAATATCCAGAGGAGCCGACAGAGGTCACTGAGTTGGTAGCCAGCCAAGGTCCAAACCACAGCCGAACTTTGTTTTTCTAGTTCTCAGTTCCCACTATCTTACAGGGTTGATGCCTTTGTACACTCTTTGCAAAGCCCATCTGCAGGTGTTCTAGGCACAGATTCGTGACTGTTTGAGGCTAGTCTGGACTTCCCCAAAGAGTACTGCCAGGCACTCATGAACAGAAAGTTTCAATAACCAAATGCAATTGGGAAATCAGTGTATATGATATAGTGCATATTAGACTAGTAAAATCTCCAAAAGCCCTTCAGTTAGAAACAGAATGAGTTCAGTTCAACCCAGAGTATCCGAAACTTGTTTGGCAACACAGCCTTTCCCTCCCACATAATGGCACAAACAAGCCACCAGATTTGAGGACCCTCCCTGAAGAGGGTGAGCCAGGCTCCTTCACAATTATCATGATGACAAAGACACGAAGATGAGAGGCGGCCACTTGTTTCTGTACACAAAGAAAAGGAAGTTGCTGTGCCTCTCTCACACCCCGTGCCCCATCATGGGGAGGAGCTCCAGGACTTCCTTGGCCGGTTCTGCCACCTGCACGTCTCAGAATCCCCTCAGTGCCCCCAAATCCAGTGGTGTGCTGAAGCCAATTGTTAACGTTTCAGAAACAGTGTGAGTCAGTTGTTAAATCATCAGGAGCTTGAAATTAAATCACCACTCCTGTGGTGGGAGTATTTATTTATACCATAAAAATCAGCAAACACTAGAAATCAGGGCTCTCCCCACCCTTCCAGAAGGCTGGGTTACCAGCATACCACTGGCCCTGGGACACTTTTTGAAATTGTTGGAAAACTCGGGAGGGCTCTGACAGCTGAGTGCTGGGGGAGAGGGGACATGGAAGTCCTCGCTCCAGCCCTCCTGGATGAGAGGTGGGAACAGCACTGAATAATAATCTTCCAGCTACAACCCCAAATGAGTCAGAGAGTGCCTCCTGGCCTGCTTACCTCGATATCTGTTACCAGCCAATGTCTCCAGAATTTCTGTGTGGGTTCTGCTCTGCTTGGGGCATCTGGATCCACCATCATCAGGATATAGGTTGCGCCCTGTAACACATGTACCAAAAAGTAATGTAGCGTCATGGTTGAAACAGGAAAATAGCACGGGGCAGACCTCCTTTTCTCGCCATTCCAACTGAGAATGGCTGAGTAGCCCCCATGGCATCCTATCCAATTTGTCCTTGTTCTCGTGACATCCCTCTCACATCACGTTTATTCTCAGAGAAATGGCATCTGTGAAGCAGACAGCAGGACTCTTGGCTTCCCCTTTGTGAGGAAGAATAAATCCAACAAGATATATGTACCAAGCACCTGGGAGTTCCGAGCGCTGTGCTGGGTGCTGTGGAGGAATTAAGGAAACCTAAAACAGGTCTCTGATCCTCAAGAAGCACCCAGTGTAGTTGGAGTGACTTGCTTATCAATTCAACAAATACATGAGGACTTATTGTGTGCCAAGAATGGCACCCATCATGAAGAATACCAGGATTCATTCATCCCTTCAACAAGCCTTTGCTGAACACCTACTATGTACCAGGATCTGGTCCAGCTCCAGGAGGCAACAGAGCACAAGATAGTAAGGTCCATACTTTCAGGAAACTTTTATTCTAGGTAAAAGACATAGATAATAAAAATAAATAAATAAGCAAAGGAACATGTGAGTACTGCTATGATGAAAATAAAACAGGGTGGGATGAGAGGTGGGAAGTGTTCTGGAAGGAAAAAAATAGCTGCTATGAAGGTCTTCAGGTGGGAAAAATAAGTAGGCTTGGAGGAGCAAGTAAGAGCACCATTGTGGCCAGGGACAAGCCAGGGGGAGGGTGGACATGGCAGGTGGGGGAGGGAGCAGAGGCCAGGCCACAGGGGGCTCTCTAGGCCTGGGTAGGGAGTGGGGTTTTGTTCAAGGTGCAACACAGAACTGCTTCAGGGTTTTAGGCAGGACAGTGATATGCTCTGATTTATGTTTTTAGAGGATTCTTTTGGCTGCTGAGTAGAAAATGAATGATCTCCAAAGGCCAGAGAGGAGGTCAGGAGGCCAGTTAAGAGACTCGCAGTAGCATGTGAAGGATGATGGCATCTTGGACTAGGACGGCAGCAATGGAGACAGAAACAAATGGTTTGGGGGAGTATTTTTAGGTAAAATCAGCAGGGTTTGCTGATGGATTCAATGGCAGGGCAGTAAGGAGGGGGATGGAGAAAGAGAAATTGAGGATGAATCCTGGGTTTCTGGCTTGAGCAACTGGGCCACTTAATGGCACAGATAAGACTTGGAGAGGAAGCTGTTTGAAGGTGGACATTCAGAGTTCTGGTTTAGACATCTTGAGTTTGAAACGCCTCTCAGAAGACAATCAGGTATGCATGTCAGAGTCTGTAGTTCAGAGGAGAGATCAGGATTGGGTGAACAAATTTGGTAGTCATTGATATAGAGATGGCCTTTAAATCAGTAGAGCAGACACAGAGAAGAAAAGAAGTCTCATGGCTGAACTGTAAAACATGCTAACATTGAGAAGAGGGGAGAAATCAGGGAAAGGGGACTTTGGAGCCAAAAAGGTGGGGGGAATACCTGGAGAGCAGGTGTTACAAAAGCCAGGATAGAAAGCGTCTCAAGGAAAAGAAAGTGATCAGCTGTATCAAATGCTGCTAAAAGGTAGGGCCAGATGAGGACACAGATGTGACAATCCGATTTGACAACTTGGATATCACTGTTATCATGATAAGACCGGTTTCAGTGGAGTAGAAAGGACTGATGCTTGGTTGGGACAGGCTGAGCTGAGATGGGAGATGAGGAATTGGAGGTAGCTATTAAAGATGATCATAAAAAAGGAAGTTTTGGTAGGAAGGACAGCTGAGACATGGAGTGGCTGTAACTAAAGAGGAAAGAAGAGTCAAGATATTTTTTAGAGAGAGGGATGATGTTTGTAGACCAATGCAAATGGTCCAGTATAGAAAGGGAAATAGGGATGACAGAGAGGAGGAAGGGGATCGTCACAAGAGCGGACTTTGAGAAGTGGGGAGGGGACAGGATCCAGAGTGAAAGTGAAGGGCTAGGTCTTGGGTAGAAGCAGAGGATGTGGGTTCCGATGCAAGAGACTTGGAAGGTGAGATGGTGAGGAATGAGGAAATTATCTTCCGATTGCTTCTATTTTTCAATGAGTTAGAAGCAAGTTCATCAGGGGAAGAGGGATTGTAGGAAGTTTGGGAACACAGAAAAAGGTGTGAGATCGTCACTTAAGAGAGTGAGAAAATGAATATACCATAGATATGTAGTAGGTTACTAGATAGTATTACATTTCATAGTTGTGTGCTTTTTAACTGTTCAAGTACATGTGCTGAATATGTAGTAGTTGGGTTTAACTTGGATAGGGACTTAGGTGTGAGTATGATGGAAGAGAGGGAATTGAGAGAGAAAGAAGTGAGTAAGATGAATGGAGTAAATGGAGAAGAGTCCTGGCCCTCCCCTTAACAGGGAGAGGCAGGCACACCCTGTTGTTCTAAATGCTTTCTGGTGTTCTAAATGCTTAAGCAGAGGAGCATTTATCAAGCATGGACGGGACAGGGAAAAGGGAGATTAAATCTCTCTACCCCAGCAGTCCAGGAAGGCTGCAGAGTTGTCTTTTGAGCTTAATCTCAAAGGGTGAGCAGGTAAAGTATCAGGAAAAGCACTCAATAGGTATAGGTAAGGGTGTGTACAAAGGCAGTGGGGGGTGCTTGGGGGAATGGCTGGGCCATAAGGCATCTGGAAAGAAATAGTAGGTGACAAAGCTGAAATGGGTATTGGGACCAGGGAACAGAAAGCTCTGCACATCATAAGTTGCTTAGAATTTATTATGCAACAGGACCCACTGAAATGGTTTGAACAGGCAACTCATATCATCAAACGTGTGCTTTGGGGCTGGGCATGGTGGCTCACATCTGTAATCCCAACACTTTGGGAGGCTGAGATGGACTGATCGCTTGAACCCAGGAGTTCAAGACCCACCTGGGCAACTGGAAAAACCTTGTCTCTACAAAAAATACAAAAGCTAGCCAGGCATGGTAGCCCACGCCTATGGTTCCAGCTACTAGGGAGGCTGAAGTGGAAGGATTGCTTGAGCCCAGGAGGCTGCAGTGAGCTATGACTGCCCCACTGTACTCCAGCTTGGATGACAGAGTGAGACGCCGTCTCAACAAACAAAAAATAACACATGGGCTTTGCGAAGGCACATGATGAGACATGATGAGGATAGAATAAAGGATGAAAAGCAGAGCAAAACATCCAAACAAACCCTGAAAACTGCAATACTCTGGAGAAAGACCACAGGGATTTCCATTCAAATAGTAGTAATAGAAAGGAGAGACATGTGTACTGCAGAACTCACAGCACGAGGTGACCGGGTAGGGCAGATGTGGGAGAGGAAGAAGCCAGGATGACTCTGAGATTCTGTCTTGGGCAGCTTGGTGATAATGGAGCCATGGATATTAGGGGTAGCAAAGTCAGGGGACAGTGAGGCAGTGAGTTTGGTGTCGAAACCTACAGGGAGAGATGCCCTTTAAATGAGGTTGGAGCTCTCTCAAGACTTGGCAGATGGGCTGTGGACATGGAGAGGGATGAATCTACAGATTCATGGATTGTCCAGGGAGAATCTGTAGAGTGAAAACAAAAGAAAGACTGTGGTGGAACTTCAGTACTCAAAGGGGGACAAAGAAGGGAGAAAGAAGCTGAGGAGAAGAGAGTTCGGCAGAGAGCCAGGGGAGTTAGTGTCATGGATGCCAAGAGAGAAATGAAGGAAGGGATAAAGGTTGTGTCAGTATCACAGTCATCAACGCAGATGAGGGCCACAAAGTGATTGTTGGTTGTGACAATGAGGGGATCGTGGACACCTTAAGATGAGTAGTTTAGAGGTAAAAATATTGACTGTTGGATTTTAAGACCCAGAAGAAGCCGTAAACCACATACTAGAGGCTACAGGAACCTAAATCAGAGAATGAGAAGATAAACCCAAGAAAATCTCCAAGGACTCAAAAGAAAAGAAAATAGTAACTGAAAAAAAGGAATATATATAAAAGTGTGTTTGTGTAAAATCCCAATAGAATCCCACAAAGAGAAAACTGTACATAGTATCTGATACATCCAAGAAAGTAATAAGAAAATAAAAAGAAATAAAGTGTAAATATGGTAAAAGAAGAAATGAAGAAATAAAGAAATAAAGTCATATACCCTCTCTCTTTTCCTTTCTTCTTCTTTTGTTTTGTTTTGTTTTGCAAATGACATGATTGTCTACATGAGAAATTTAAAAAAAAATCAACTGGAAACAAAAGTAATATTCTGTAAACCATTACAAATCGTACACAAAACTGGTACTTTTTACATATTAATAATAGTCCTAAAGTATACATTTAAGATCCCATTAACAATGGTAACAAAACATGTAAAATAAGTAAGAATGAACTTGATGGCAAATGCAAGATTATACAAAGAAAACAAAAACATTATTGATGCACATAAGAAGGAAACTTGAATAGATAAAGAAATACAATGCTTTTAAATTGAAATAATCATTTTGCAAAAATGTCAATAAACCTTCAATTAATTTTTTAATCTAGCACAATTCCAGTCAAAATCCTAAATATTCTGTGAATATCACAGAATAATTCTAAAGGTCATAATAAATGTAAAAAACAAGTAAATAAAAGAAAAATAATTATCCAAGGCAATATTGAAAAAGATAAAATAGGGATGGTATTAATTTTGGAGATATTAACGTATCTTATTAAGTTACAATAATTAGAACAATATGGTGTTGATTAATAAAGTAAAGGAATCAAAATAGAAAATCCAGAGAGAAAGTCAAGTTTTCAATATATGTATATTTACTATATGATAGTTATTTAAAATGTTATTTAATATATGACATAGTTATTTCAGATCAGTGGGGAAAAATAGATTATTTTATAAATGTTATTGGGAAAACTGGCTCACTATGTGGAATAAATAAACTTAGGTCCCTATTTCTTTCAGATACCAGAAAACATCCTTATTTAAATACGAAAATGAAAAACAAGCTTTAAAA